CAAACGCGTATCGGTCACGGAAAATGCAGCCACCCGAGCGCAACTATCCTGTATGCATCGTGCATGCATTTCGTACCTGGCGATATTATCTCACGGGAGCCAATGTCACGATCAGGACAGACCACAAGTCACTACTGTACATGCGCAGCCAACTACAGCTCAACCCGCGACAAATCAGGTGGGCCGATTACCTCGAGTCAAACTTCAGCTACACCATCACGTACAAAAAGGGCGCCAACAACATTGCCGACGCTCTGACCCGCCCATCGATGCAGACCGCAGCAGTACTAATCGCTCACTCTAACCCTTTATTGGCAAGGTTATTTAAGCATGGCGAAAGGACCAATCGCTTCTTCATGAAGAATCAACACCAACGGGTCACTACGGCGCATGGGAGTTATTACCTAAAAGTCGGTAGTAACCGAGTTTGGGTACCTTCCTACCGACCGTTACGAGAATTGCTGATGCGGGAGGTTCATGACTCCAACCTCTCCGGGCATTTCGGCGTCGACAAAACATTAAAGTTGCTGCATCGTAATTACTACTGGCCCGACATGGCGTCGGACGTGCAGCACTACGTGTCCGCCTGCCCTACTTGCCAAGCGATGAAGTCACCACGCCAACGTCCAGCTGGGTTGCTGCAACCCCTGGAGCCACCCGTACGAGGATGGCAACATGTGACGATGGACTGCGTCACTGGACTGCCAGCTGGCGCAAGTGGCAACGATCAGGTGCTGGTCGTCGTTGACCGATTAACGAAGATGGCGCATTTCGCACCATGCCGCACGACGATCACAGCCAAAGAAACAGCGAAGCTCTTCATCTCCACTGTCGTCCACCTACACGGGTTACCTTCGGCGATCATCAGCGATCAAGATCTGAAATTTACGTCGAATACCACCCGCAAACCGACAGACAGACAGAGAGGACAAATCTAACTATGGAGCAGTTAATTCGCACGAACTGCCCCGACATCACCAAGTGGGAGGATTCGCTCTCTATGCTGGAGTTTGAGTACAACAACGCACCGTCTGCGACGACTAATCAGTCGCCGTTCTACCTCAATTACGATATAGACCCTGTGGTACCCTCTTCAACGACCTCCGACAACCAGTTACCACAGTCGCAGCAGTTCGTCTCGGAACTTCAAGCAGCTCGTGACAAAGCAGGGGAATTCATTCGGAAGGCTAATACCGTTGCCAGCCGCTACGCCGACAGACATTGACGGAACTTACCATTCCGTGACGGGCAGATGGTCCTTCTGGACACAAAAAAACTTTGCCTGCCCCAACCCGCAAAACTGTGTTTCTGCTACGTGGAACCTTTCCGCATCATTCGGATGTTGACCCCGGTCGCAGCAAAACTTCTGCTACCGGACGACTGGAAAATCCACGACGCCTTCCACGTCAGCCTGCTCCGCCATTGCGTGGCTCCGCAGCCGTCCGACATCGCCCGCCCCAACATCGCGCCAAGTGTTTGGCCTGTGGCAGACCAGACAGTGCAGCCCTGGAAGATTCTGAATCATAGCATCAATGCGACCCCAGCTGGGCGCCACGTCGATTTCCTCCTTTGTTGGGTGGATCGCACAAGCGAAGATGACACGTGGGTCCTGCCGACGCGTGCCTGACGTTGACCACCTTTCTTAAAGGGGGGGGGTGGTGTAAGGAACTTTCCTAATTCCTCGTTGAGGCACTCCATACGCGTACAGTTCCAACTTTTCGGAGTTCAGGCTTGGTCCGACGACCTCGCCTTCCGAACGTCCCTCGCGTCGCCTTTGGGTTTCCCATCCATAAACCTGCACCCAACCATCTCGCGACTCCGCAACCTCGGCCTAGCTAGCCTTGCTAAATTATGCCTAGGCCTCGTTGTTTTCTCAGTAGTTGTAATCACTTCCGCGATATTGCATTCTGCGCACTTTTCTTTCGTACAACTCATAACGAAGGGCCCGCGGGGGCGTTCTAGGCAGTTTGTAGCCCCGAAACACCCGACGTTTTGCAAGATTTAGCGTGGTCGCGCTGCTGAGGTATGTGTTTCATGCCACAACTGTTTCTGTATTGTTTAACATCCTCGTCTGAAATTTCTTGCATGTCCTGGAATGCTTTCACGATATGTTATGCTGGTAAGGTAACGTGTTTTGTGTTGAGGTGCCAGAAGTTCCAGAATCTGCAGCAGATGTTTTGCAAGACCAACCTCGAGATGCAAGGAATTTTTTACGCGCGCTAGCAGTCACGTGGGGAGGCCCTGGAGCGCCTGCTGGACGTGTTACCTGCTGAAAGAGTACCGCCATGATTTGTATGAGGTGGTCACCTCGTTCAAATTCAACTGGCTCCTTCGGGTTTTGGTGGATGTGCTGTCGGAGCTCAATTCGCTCAACTTGCGGTTCCAGCAAAGAAAGGTATGATGTGATAAATCTCTTTGAAATGTGTTGACATGTAGTAGTTCTCCCGTCCTGACACATTGTGTTGTGCATTTACATATCGACATCACGCTGGTGGGCCGTCTCGTCGAGCAGACGCGGATGCGACTGAAGTCTCGCTACAACAGCAATCAGCAAGGCCACCAGTTCGGGAGCGGGGAGAGGATGCGCCTTCCAGAGTTCATCAAGAAGCACCAATCGAAGGAGAAGCAGGAGATGAAGGCCGAAGGGGTTGATGGCGACCAAAATCCAGTCTCCTTCAATTTCGACCTGCACAACCATGTCTCTGAGGGGAAGAAACTCCAGGCGTTGTGGCTGCCTGCTACGAACCATCGTTGAACTTCGTGCGCGTAGTGGACAAGGAGCTGGAGTGGCGGTATCGTGACTTCGCGAACATGGAAGGCTCGAAGCTGTTTGATAAAGCTTCATACCTTCCAGACAATGACAAGCGCCTCGCTGCCTTCAAACGATGGCTACAGCAACTCCACAAGCTCTACCAGATGCACTCCCTGGTACGAAATCCGTACCTTGCTTGAAAATTGTTTGCGGTTTTTGAATTTCTTGGGTGATTGTTGGAGAGGGGTCTTCTGTTCTCGTACTTTGTTGTTTGCTCGGCTGTTTGGTTTTAAACCGCCCTCTCCTCCCACCTTCTTCGAGTTTCTTATTGTACTCTTCTCCCCCATCAACAGGGTTCAACTACAGCAAAGCGCGGGCAGAGCTGTAGGTGTTTACGAGTACCTTGTTTTTGCAGCATCACAATGAAGACTTCCACCAAGCTCTTGCCAACATGCTGCGCGAAGATTTATGGCAGCAGTCCTTGTCAGAATCCCAACCACTAGACCATTGGGATAAAAGGGCTTGTTTCAGTGGCGGGTCAGTGCGCCCATAACCCCCCAGGCGAAGGCGCCTGTAACCCTCTCCAGGATCAATCGGGCATCCACAGTGCAGATCTACTGACACCCCCCCACACTGGGAGGCCCAGGACTAAGCACAGCGGCAATGGCCTACATGTGCATACACCGGGAATCGAACCCGAGACCGCTCTGATACCATGTCAGAATCCCAACCACTATACCATTGGGATATAAGGGCTTGTTTCAGTAGCGGGTCAGTGCGCCCATAACCCCCCAGGTGAACGCGCCTGTAACCCTCTCCAGGATCAATCGGGCATCCACAGTGCAGATCTACTGACAGTCCTTCCCCAACATCATGCTGCTGTGGCAAGCAGCGGCGGTCCTGCCTCTCAGCACGGTCGAGTGTGAGAGAGGCTTCAGCAAGCAGAATTTGATCAAAACCTGGGACCGCGTCAACATCTCTGGCATCAGCCTCGACTATATTATGCACTGCTCCTTGCTCCAGTACGAAATTGACTGGTTCGAGGTGGTCGCGATTTTCAGGGGGGAGAAAGCTCAGGCGCCCCACCACGGACTTCAATGGGACTAGGGAGAGCGACATCCAGTTTGTGGGTGACAGTGGCGGTTTGCATAGTAGCTTGCCAAGTACTGAGTGAAGTGAATATTGCATGTGAGAAGCATTGCTATTGCTACATTTATAATTAAGTAGTCACCGCTCGCTGTATTGGACTAGACAGTCATTGTAACGAAAATAGTACCCTGCGAATCAGTCTTTAGTAATAGTTACAGTGACGGCATCAGGCTGGGAATTTTTTTTCACTGTATTCGTCAGCCTAGCGAAAAAATTTACCCTAGGGAGCCAGGGTGAGACTGGGCTCAACTCTGGTTAGACAGGGTGGGCCTAGACCAATTTTGGGCCCTGTGCCCATTAGAGTAACAATGCAATTTCACTACGCAGGCCCATGATGTAATGTAACTATATGTAATGTATCAGTGCTTGAAAGTGTACAAATTGCTGTTATATTTTCCACGTATTCGTAAATACGTGATTCCTAAGTCTTCTGGTAAACCATTATCATCCATAATGATGGTTATTGGATAGCGAATTATACAATTAGAAATGCAAACTGGCGGAAGTGCAGGGACATTATATACGATAGAAATTATTTACAGTCACTATGATTGATGGCTCTTATCGGAAGAACTGCCCGCATGCCTCAATCAACCATTGGTCGTGTCAATCTTGGATATTGTTCATCGAACCAATCCCAAAGCACCCGATAGTGTCAAACAGTTCATCCAAAAGTGACGGGATTCCAATCACCCATCTACTCTCGCAGGGCCGGGAGGTGTGTTGTCTATCCTCAACCAGACTCTCGAAAATAGGAATTCACGTTCGAGTTCTTTTGGATGAGGTTCATATAGTGAGCTGCGACGAGCCCTTCATACTACCCCGGCAAGCAGCAACGTATAGAAGATTACGGCTGGTTCTATACTTTGCCGTACGACTCGTACGAGAGGAGCACATCAATTCGGCGAAGGGTGTAACGGCGGAGAACCGGATGATGGCGGAGAATGGGGAAAACGCGGAGGGTAAAGGTGGGGAATCAGAAGAAGGGCGTGGAGGTGGAGTGCATAGGGCGACGAGGCAGGACGACGTGGCGATGCGCTTGAGTCGGATGATGGGCGCGGGAGCGGGGAGCGCGGGGGAATTATCATCGGAACAGCTGATGGGCGTGATACGATGGTGCGTGCAGCGTGCTGTGGAGGTCGACGTGGACGCAAGATTGGCGGAGAGGCTTGGGGAGGTAGAGCAGCGAGTGAGAGCGGAAGAGAGGAAGAGGACCGACGAGGAAGAGAGGAGGAGGGTTGAGGAGGAAGAGAGGAAGAGGGTTGAAAAGGAAGAGAGGAAGAGGGTTGAAAAGGAAGAGAGGAAGAGGGTTGAAAAGGAAGAGAGGAAGAGGGTTGAAGAGAAAGAGAGGAAGAAGAGGAGGGAACTGAAGAGGGAAGCGAGTCAGGCACTAGCGTGGGCGGCGAGGCGGGAGGAGGAGTTGAAGGCAGCAGTGAGGGAGGCGGAGAGGGCGGTGACGGGGCTGGAGGAGAGCGTTGAGGAAAAGGTGGAGAAGATACTGGTGCGCGTGGCCATGCTCCAAAGCGCCATGGACGGTGGGGAGCTCTTTCAATGCGCCGAAGCAGAGCGCAAGCGAGCTCGTATGGCTGATGGGTCCGCTGCTCCCCGCACGAGGGAGGTGAGTACTGTCATAACGTGATTAATTTGCATATAATCCCTATTTGGCACGTTCTGTGCCATGTAAGACGTTACAAATATGCCTCGCTACCCGTTCTTCCCGTCGCCCCTACCTTCCTTCCTTCAACTCTCTCCTCGTCCTCCGTCCGTCCGTCTCTCCACCCACCATCCACCCCTCCTCCCACCGTCCGTCCATCCTGGTGCTCCGTTGCTCGTTCACCTACTCATTCCCCCGTGCCTTCCTGCACCACTCCTATACCAGGAAGCATTTCATCTGCAAGCCCTTAACCGTGCACAGGCAGCCCCTCTCGCCGTTACCCCACTCGGCCGTTCTCGCCCCTTTGATGCTCCCCTACTCCCTGTTGCCTGGCAGCACCTGGCAGCCCTCTCCACTTATGCAGAGGCGGTGAGAGGGAAGTCACAGGAGGTGAAGACGCTGGTGCGTGGGCTGTGGACGAAGCATGTCTTGGTTGGTGGGGAGAAGCAGCTTGAGGAAGGAGGGGAGGAGGACGAGGAAGAGGAAGAGGAGGTTGAGGAGGAGGAGAAGGAGGAAGTGGAGGAAACAGAGAGAGAGCAAGAGATGGAGAGAGGGGAGGAGATGGAGAGAGGAGAGAAGGTGGAGAGAGAGGAAGAGAAGGAGAGAGAGCAGGAGATGGAGAGAGCAAGGCAGAGTGAGAGAGAGGAGGAGACGGAGAGAGAGGAGAGAAAGCAGAGAGATGAGGGGAAGCAGAGGGAAGAGATGAAGAGGGAGGAGGAGAAGGGGAGGGCGGAGGAAGAGAGAGAGGAGGAGAAGGAGAGAGAGGAGGAGGAGAGAGAAGAGGAGATGGAGAGAAAGGAGGAGAAGGAGAGAGAGGAGAATGAGAGAGAGAGGGAGGTGGATAGAGAGGGTGATGTGGATAGGGAGAAGGAGAAGGAAAGAGATGAGGAGGAGGAGGAGCATGAGCAGCAGGAGAGAGAGGGGGAGGAGGAGAAGGAGGAGAAGAAAATAGAGGAGGAGATGGAGAGAGAGGAGGAGGTGGTGAGAGAGGAGGAGGTGGAGAGAGAGGAGGAGGAGAGAGATGATGATGAGGAGGTGGAGCAGATGGAGCAGGAGGAGGAGAGTGAGGAGAAGGAGGAAGAGGCGGTTGTACAGGGGCAGGAGCAGCTGAAAGAAGAAATGGAGATTGAGACGGGGTTCAAGACGGACGAGGGGATGAACGGTGGGGATGAAGCTGTCCATCGAGTTGTAAAGGAAGAGATCTGGGAAGACTTGCCTGAAGGGCGAGGTGAAGGGCGAGAGGGAGGGCTAGAAGGAGGGCGAGGGAAGGAGCGAGGGGAAGAGGGAGGGCTTGAAGGAGGGCGAGCGGTAGAGCGAGAGGGAGGGGAAGAGGGAGGGCGGGAAGGAGGGAGAGGGGAAGAGCGAGAGGGAGAGAAAGAGGGAGGGCGAGTAGGAGGGCGAGTAGGAGGGAGAGGGGAAGAGCGAGAGGGAGAGAAAGAGGGAGGGCGAGTAGGAGGGCGAGGGGAAGAGCGAGAGGGAGGCCAAGCGCGAGAAGGAGGGCAAGCGGAAGCGGCAGAGGAGGAGAGGGAAGGGGTTAATGCAATGAAAGAAGAGGGAAACAATGATGCTCTGATTCTGGTGAGAAGTGAACCTGGAGTGCCTGCACACGTACTTGCCCCCCATTTTTCGTGCTCAACATGGCCAATTGCAATCGTTGACTCCAATTCCACAATCGCCCCTTTGGTTTGTTCCAAATGTCGTCTCCTTTTGCTCTTCTTTCTTTCCAATCACCATTTTCCCCCCCTCACCCTTCCCCTTCCATTGCACTCCTCCCCTCTCCTCCTCACAGCAGGATATTTCACAAGATGCAGGGTTAGAGGTCACAAGGGGACCAGGGCAGACAGGTGCACAAGCGAGGGGAGGGCAAGCTCTGGTGCAAACCTCAACTGTGGTACAGGTCATGACAGAGGAGGCGATGAAGGCAGCAGCACAGACAGAGATCGAGTCGTTGCTACGCTCTCTCCCACCAAACGAGCGAGAGCGTGCCAGTGCCCTGATCGACCAGGTCATTTTCTTCCTCTCACTGCAGCTCCCCTCAGCAGCGCACATCACAGTCCAGGACCGCAAATATGGCTTTGGGACCCTGGGCGACGACCAACCTCTCCACTTCCTCTTTGCCCTCGCTCCCTGCTGCCGTCCCGACCTTCCTCCCACTCTCACCGCGCTCACTCTCACTGGTCTCGCCCCTGTCTCTGCTCGCAACATGGAATGCATTCTCCGCCTGCCCTCTCTCACCTCGCTCACCCTCCGCCGCACTTCCATCGCATCAGAAGCCGCGCCGCTGCTGCGCTCCTCCTCTCGCCTACACAGGCTTGTCCTTGACAGCCCTGAAGATTCCGACCCAGTCTTTGAACCCCATTCTCAAAGCCCCGTAGGGCTACATGACAACCAGCTGGTTCGGAGTCTAAAGGAGCTGCACATCAGTGCAGTCACTGATGAGATTCTACAGCAGGTTGGCTTGCTGGTGGGCCTTGAGGCCTTTTCCTGTACGTGCAGTGATAGAGTGACCCTTGAGGGATGGAAGCACCTCAGTATGCTAACCACGCTGAGATCCCTGCAGGTCGCCCCCGAACACATGTACCGCCATGACTTGGTCCTCACGCTTGTCAACGATGGCCTTCCAGAAGTCTCCATGTCCTTCCGTGGTCAGTCATTGGCAGACTCGGGTTTCCACGCAAGCGAGTCCCACACCCGTGTGGGTGGCAGCCTGTGGCAGGTGCTGCCTGGTCTGCAGCGCTTGGAGCGACTCGCCTTGCATGCGGTGCAGCGTGGGGAGCTGACCTGGCGGTCCCTGTACCGGCTCAAGTTGCTCAAAACTCTCCACATCAGCAGCAGTTCCCTGGGTCGTTCCACCATGTCGCCCTGGCTGACTTGGTTGACGGACATGAGCCTGGCAGGATGTAAGTTTGACGCAGATGCAGCCATGCTCTGTGTCACCGAGCTGGTTTCTCTGGACCTATCCGGATCCTCCATCAGCTGTAAGGGTGCCAAGCAGCTGCAGTCGTTTAGGCGCCTGCAGTGCTTAAAGCTACAGCAGTGTGTGAACATCCGGGCAACGTTTGTGCGGCATGTGAGTGAGGTGCCGCAGCTGAAGATGTTGGATCTTAGCTTCAATCCCTGGCTGCAGCCTAGATGGCTGCGGCCTATCTTGACGGGGAAGCGAGTAACGATGCTGCTTGTAAAAGGGTGTTTTACGCAGACGCAGCTAAAAAATCTTCAGCGGTCTTGGATTGTTGTGGAACCGACGTGAATTGACCTGTTCTTTTTAAATGCGCTCTGCTTCTTAGCGTAGCATGGAACAGGATGTGCTGGCATGGCAGGTGCTGCATGGCAGGTGTTGCATGGCAGGCTTTGAATGGCACGCGTTGTGTGGCATGTGCTACATGCCATATTTTGCATGGCATGTGTTCCACACCATGTGCTGTGTGGCATGAAATGGGACGGATGAAATGTTTTGCACAGTACCGTATATGATATGTGGCATTTGGTGAATGGCATTAGTAGCATGGCATGTGATGTACATCATGAATGTAATATACTGGATGGCATCTGACGCATGGTGTGTGTTGCACAGAATGTGTTGCGTGGCATGTGATGCATAGCATGTGTTGCACAGAATGTGTTGCACAGAATTTGTTGCACAGAATGTGTGTACGAGTTTAGACATGTGTCTGTTGTGGTCCAAGGTTTCGGGGTTTTCTTCTAAACAGGAGGGATTTTTTTTTACGGATTTAGTGCATAAACAGGGGTACGGTCGTGAATCAAGACTAAACAGGCAACTAAGGGCCTCCTGACTAAACCTCGTGTCAGAACATTGTGTCAGGGCACCCCCCCAACCCTCCTGACACAAGGCTCTGACACCAGGCTGCATGGATCTAAATGTAAGCTGCAGGGAACCCTACTAGGTACACTATCCCTCAAGCTCACAGAGCAGCATGTGGCACGGGCAGTGGTATCAGTAGCCCTTGGGGCGGAAGAACACGGAGAGGCCATGCGCCTTGAGGAACATGCCCGTGTAGAGATCGGGAAAGAGCACCACCCCCTGCACGGCAGCCGTCGTGTTGCGCGGGCCCAGCACGGTCTTGCCCGCATTAGCGCCCACGGAGGGGTTGCGCTGCAGCAGGTCGGTGGGTGGCGCCTTGGTGCGCAGCGGCGTGTTGGGCTTGAGGTTTCGCAGCTGCGTGGCGGTGAACTGGCGCTGCAGCACGTTGAACTTGCCGATGGCCTCCATGGCCGTCGTGTTCTGCAGCGTCTTGATCCCCACGCCGTACACCGCCTTGTTCGTCGGCACCAGCAGCGTCGTGTTGAACAGCTGCGGCAGCTGCGCGTCGGGGTACTTCACTGTTTTGGGGGTAAGAGAGAGGGATGCGTGGGGGGGAGAGAGGGGAAAGGAGAGAGTGAGTGAATAGGCGAGAGCTGGCGAAACGGTGTCATCGCAGAGAACCTCTCCGACTCGTGGTGTTTTTTCAGCTATAAATGAACCGGACCATGTTTGTAGCGTCTCGGTCCGTCACGCAGAAGAAACCCTAACCTAACGTCCGAGATGCGCTTAATTTAAGAGCTTAAGAGAATGGGTGCCGGTAGCTTACTAGAGAAGCGACGATAGGGTTTCTGAGGAGCAGTACTCACGCATTTTATCGACGCCTTTCCCGAACGCCGAGTATTCCTTCGTCTTGGCCAGCACCGCCTTCAGCGCGTTGAGTTCCGCCCGGAATTGCGCCACCGTCGGTGCTGCGTACGCGTGGCAAGCGGCGAGCAGCAGCAGCCCCGCGATGAGAGAAAACTTGTGTGAGCGCGAAATTGCCATGATAGATTCGATAGGTGCTGCAATTAGCAAATAATAGGATCTGCGAGGCTTAGAGTGCGCGAGGCTATGGAGATGCTGTGAGATTCAAACAGGAAATGTGTATTTCCACAGCTAGGGGCTGTCCAGTTGATCGGCGGGGTGGCAGATATAAGGAGCGATGCTAGAGATACTCTAATCGAAATCGATGTGAGAACGTGATAGAAGAACTTGTGTGATCTGGAGAAAGCCTTGCCATGCGGGCACTATGCGGTTGCTGGGGGATGTGCCCCATGCCATTTGTATCAGATGTGCCCTCGGGGCTGGGGTATGCGGTTTGCTGTTGTTTGTTATGGGTTGTAGATTGGCTTGGCGGGTGGCGGTGTTGTTGGTCGCTGTTTGCTAGGGGATTGGAGGGGCGCGCGAAGCGGAAAAACAGACGGACGAGCAGGGGGAGTTGACGGCCAATGGAACGATGGCTATAGACGAGCGGTGCCTCTGTGGCTCCACAATTCCGGGGCCAAGTGAGAAACCGGGCGGTTCGATGATGCCGACAAGACGCGTCTGTCCAACCTAGCGCGGGTCGTACCCAACCCGTCTAGCAAGCGGTCAATTCGAAATGCGATCCAATTTTCGCAGTGCATGTTGGCGAATGCGATCTTTTTGGGCAGAACCACGCGGCTGCCCGTGTTTAGGGTTGGGGCTCCCCTTACCGCATGCCATCCAGATGGGGTTTATTTGTTTCTGACCGCGGGCAGATAACGACCACTCAGCTTTCTTCCACTGGGGATCGCATTCGCGAACCGCGCTGGCTAAATTGGATTGCAGCTGAAGTTGTCCCTCTAGCAAGGAAGCTCCAGTCTGTCTTCAGCTGAATCATCTTACAATCAAACGCGTTGTTGTTAAGGGTGTTTCATGGATGGGTTTCATGTTAGCAGATGTTAGGAAGGTACAACACGTAACACAACACATAGATTTCATTGTTAGTTTATGTTTAGAAATAGATATACCTAGTAACCAGTTCAACAATAACAGGGAATATCTCCCGCCTTAGGCACACGAAACTGTCAATAACAGGGACTGCCTTTTCCCAGACACATGCAATCGCGGGAAGATAAATGCGGGACCCACAGAAAGCCCCCTTCTAGCTCCTTCTAGATTTGCCTCGCGTCTTTGCAAATTTTACGCAGTCGTGTAGCGGAGCAGGCGAGGAGCAGGAGTTGACCCCCCCCCCCCCCCCCCCCCCTCGAAAACGAGAGACCCCAGCTGGCGCCAGCTGCAGATGACGCCAGCGACCCGCGTATTTGAGCTAGCAGTGGTTCCCTCACTTGACCCCAACCCCACTCTCGGTTCGTAGACCGGTTCTGTTCGGTAACCGACGGAACCCTCGCTGGCCGTCGCTTCGCCGACGGAACTTGTCAGCGAAATTTCGCAAGCGGACGGAAACGACGCCCATCTCGGCCGCACTGCACCACTCTCGCCTCTTCGGACCCGTTTCGTTTCGCGCTCGACTCGGGTGACGTGTCGAACGCCCCCTCCTTATGCAAGCAAGAGAAAATCTCGTCGAGGCCAATCAGGGCCCCCCCTTCCAGCACGAAATAATCCCCACCCGCCGTCGCGGAACGCGCCCTGCCTTGTAGGCCTTGCACCTGAGACTGTCTCGGTTGGAGGGATGGCTACCAGCTAAAGTTGATGGCATGGTCATTTTGTTGCTGTTTTCTCCGAGTTTTCTCTCCCGATCCTTGTTCCCAACTTTACTGCGCTCCCGCTTTCCCAACTGCTAGGCAAAAAATTACGACGGGCCGGCTCCCTACCTGGCGTGAACGAGCCGACGGTACGCCGCTCCCTCATCCTAAATGCAGGCGGCCTCGACGTAGAGGTGTCCGACGACCAGGTGAAGCAGCTTAGCGAGGCATCGAGGACGGAGTTCGACGAGAAGTTGATCAACGTGGGCGTAGCGTACGTGTCTTGTCAAGCATTATCTGCTTGCCGTATAATCCTGTCACTGACTGTGCCCTAGCTTTCCTTGCAGCTTCTGTCAACAGGAGCTGGTGCTGAGAAGGAGGGGGTGCCGAACACGAAGGTGATGGCCAGGGGAGGCCTGACGTTGGGATTGAGTATGAATATGAGGAGCAAAAGATTGAGGTGGGTACCTCGGAGCAAGCTTCGCACGGAGTGAGCGGCCCGGGCGGCGATGCGAACGAGGACGAAGGCTCGAGCTCGGCCTCGAGCTCCGGCTCGAGCTCGAGCGATGAGTCGAGACGACAGCCAGGGCGAAGGAGAAAGAGAACCTATAGGTGGGGCGAAGCGTATGGAGGAGCACGGTGGAGTGGCTCTCGGGGAGTGGGTGGACGAGCAGGCCCACCAAGTCCCTGCGAGTACGAAGCAAATGGAGCAGAAGGCGACGGGGGACAAAGGGGGTATCGAGGAGCAGGAAGGCTGGGCGGCTGCGCAGGAGGGTGGGGCAAGAGGGTAGGAGCAGGAGGGCGGGGCAGCTCCGTAGGAGGGTCGACGAGGAAAGGAGCGACAGGCCGTCGTAACAAGGAAACACCGTGCAGTTGCGACTAGCGGTGGTAGCGGACAGACATGCCCTTTCACGAAGGGCCCTTCGACGGCGGGCCATTCGAGGCGATTGTACCTGGAGGCGATCTCGTCGACCTACTGCAGAGGGTCGCGGAGGGCAAAGCATCGCAGAAGAAGCTCGTCGTCGATGTCTTTGCGAAGCACAGTGAGCAAGCCGGTATCTTCAGCAAGCTTGTTGCGGATTATCGGGCATGCAGGAAGCTGTTTTAGGAGACGTCGCAGAGCATGCTGAACCAGTTCGCCGTCGCCGTAAAAAAGTATCGAGGAGGAGAGTAAGCTGTTGGAAGATGCGCGCACTAAGCTCGACGAGATAAGTGGGAAAATCATCGAGGGAGAGGCCGACGCGATGACAAAAGCGAGCGAGGACACCATCGCGAAGCAACTGGAGGGGGTCGAGGGGCGGCTGGTTGCTACTGTCCTGAAGACTTTCAAGAAGGGCGTCGAGCAGGTTTTATTCTACTCCAACCTCCCACCCAAGAGCATGAACGAGTTGAAGGATATTGTTACAAAAGGGCTTGAAGATGCTGATGCTGACAGGTTGGAAGTCCTCACCGAAGCGTTGGCAAGAGGGTTTAGTGGCTCTGCGGGCTCGTCGACGCGGGCGCGTAAGGAGGGGTTGGCTGGCGTTCGTAGCGGGGATGTGCCTCGAGGTCTTGTGCCCTCCGTTTCTCCTTCTTCGGTGGGCGGCCACGTCGACAGCCCGGTAGCATCCCCACCGTCGCGTGCACCTCATCCCGTCGCGAAGACCAGTGAGGGCACTGAGGTCTTCGTACTCCACCAGTCGCCCCATTCAAAAACCTCCACAGCACCTCCGAAGCCTCCGCGTGATGCGGGGCATGCTTTAGGGCGTCGGGAAAAAGGGTGGGAAAGGAGTGGTGGCTCGG